ACAGGCCCAACAAATTCAGAAAGATAGATATGATCTGCGAGCAAAGGAAAGGGGGTTTCAACCAGGACAGAAGGTGCTGGTTCTGTTGCCCTCATCATCAAGCAAAATGCTGACGCAATGGCAAGGGCCTTTTGAAATAGTAAGACAGGTGGGTCCGGTTGATTACGAGGTGTACCGCCCGGGGCACGTGAAGACAAAGCAGATTTATCATGTCAACCTCCTGCACGAATGGCGGCAACCTGAAGGGTGGGCAGCCTTTATAGACGAGACGGTCTCAAATCCCGAACAACAGACTGCTACTCGGGGCCTAAGGGGAACGGAGCCCTGGCGGGCAGTTAAGGTGAGCGATGAGCTGACCCTGCATCAGAAGCGGGATATGACAGAACTCCTTAAGGAGTTTCAGAAAGTCTTTTCCGAGGACCCCGGATGGGTCAAGAATATCTTCCATGCAATTCGAACACCACCGAGAGTAGTGGTAAGAGACCGCTGGCGTCCTATACCGCATCACCTGAGCACGGAGGTACGCAAAGAAGTCAAAAAGATGCAGAACCTAGGTGTCATTACACCATCATGGAGTCCGTGGCGAAGTTCTCTGGTGCCAATCCAGAAGCCCAATGGGACTCTAAGACTCTGCGTGGATTACTGGAAAGTAAACGAAGTGGCCATGTTTGATGCGTTTCCAATGCCTAGGGTGGTGGAACTCGTAGAGCGGATAGGAGCAGCTCGCTATATATCAACACTAGATCTGGCCAAAGGATATTGGCAAATCCCAGTGAGACCTGAAGATCACCATAAGACAGCCTCTGGAATGGCATGGGGGCTGTATGGATTTGTTAAAATGCCATTCGGATTACATGGGGCTGCGGCAACATTTCAACGGTTGATGGATCGACTTCTGCACCCCACACTGAATATGCCGCGACATACATAGATGATACAGTGGTGTTCATCTCGTCATGGGATCACCACCTCCACGCGCTCCGAGCCGTGTTGGCTGAGTTACAGAAGGCTGGTTTAACCGCGACACTAAGGAAATGTGCAGTGGTACACAAATACACCAAATATTTGGGGTTTCTCGTAGGCCAAGGGACCATCAGGCCCTTAGAAGATAAGGTTCAGGCTATTCATTTATTCCAAGCCCCACAAACAACCAGGCAGTTATGATCCTTTTTAGGCTTGGTAAATTATTATAGACGACTTGTACCCCGGTTTTCTGAGCTGGCGGCACCTCTCTCGGAGGCCTTAAAAGGGGCACGACAAAAAGTGGTAAAGTGGAACAAAATGATGTTGAACAGCTTCCATGCTTTAAAGGGGGCTCTGTGTAACGAGGTGATAATACACGCCCCGACTTCGAAAAACCTTTTTCATTGCAGACCGACGCATCATTGGTGGCACTCGGGGCCGTGCTGACGCAGCAGGATGCAGGAGTGGACCGACCTGTGGCTTACGCCAGGCGAAATCTGTTACCGGCCGAAACAAGGTACGCAACCATCGAACAGGAGTGCCTAGCCATTCGATGGGCGGTGGAACACTTCCGTTATTACCTATTAGGGCAGGAATTTACACTCATAACAGACCACGCGCCCTTGAAGTGGCTTAGTACGGCCAAAACCAATAACGCTTGCCTAATGAGATAGGCACTGGCACTACAGCCCTTCAAATTTCATATTGCATACCGTCCAGGAAAGGATAATGTAACTGCGGATTTCCTCTCTAGATGCAATGAGGCCTCAGATGTTGATGTGCCTGGCCGGAGTGGACAAAGTCATCAACGGGGCACAGATACCGGTGAAGCACGAACTCGGAAACAGCCACAAGGCAGCTGGCGGGGGGGGTTATGTCCCGGGACCCGCGGAAGCCAGGAAAACTTACCGGGAGAGCAGGACGCCGTGAGGGAGGGAGAGCCCGCATGGCTCGTTAGCCGCGTCTATGTACAGCTGCAGCCGGCAGCAGATGGTGACGTCAGACGCCGGCCAGGAGATTTAAAAATGGCGGCCGCCGCTCCAGAGG